GTGTCAAGTATTAAAATCATAGACAGCATGAGTTTTTGTTGACAAGCTCTCTTTTTCAGTTTTATTCTTTAAAAACAGTAAAGCAATTATGGCCTAATAATTACATGTTAATAAATCATATGATAATATTTTGAAAAATGGAAAGTTTTCTTTATGTTACATTTTGCAAAATCACAAGGATCAAACACTGTTGAATTCACTGATTCTCTGCAGAAAATTTTTATGGGTATGTATGTGGTTCTGGGGATGAAACCGAGGGCCTTTGCACTGTGCTATGTCTCAGCCTTCTACCATTATTTTTATTTTTATTTAGAGTTTCTCTAAGTTTCTCAGGCTGGGTTTGAACTTCTGTCCTCCTACCTCAGACTCACAGAGTTCTGGAATTACAGGTGTGCACTAAGGCACCTGGCTTTTTAAATGTCCTTGAAGTTATTGTGTATTGAGCAGGTGTCTGCAGTGTTGGGTGCATTTGGTGCCTTAACTCATTTCGTCCTTGGACTGGTTCCTCCACGCTTCAGGGTTTTAAAGGGCACTTTACACACTGCTCAACTTGACCCGTTATTATCCAAACGGACTCATCCTCCCTCATTCGGCAGCTGAAGTGTCTGCCACTGACAGATGATGTCTTTGTGTTTGAGCAACAGAAAACTAGGACTGTTGGGCTCATAAAAAGATAATTAAGTCTTTAACCATTATTGAATGTGGCATGGGAGAAAAAACACATCTACTCAGCCTTCTCAAAGGCCCACACTGGGAAGATGAACAATTCTTGGAAACCTTAGGCAACAGGAGTGAATTTAAACATTTTTATGTCCATTTGCAATGGACTAAATAAATATTTGTGTACTTCCAAATTTCATATTTTGAAACACTAAGACTCTTATGGTGGTATTAGAAAGTGGGACTTTGAGACAGTGATTGTTACACAGGGGTTAAGCCTTCAGGGTGACATCAGATCCCAGAGAGCTCCCTTGTTCTCTTTCCCCCATATGAACACACACAGCAAAAGGACAGTAGTCTGCAACCTAAAAGAAGGCCCTCACCAAAACCTGGCTGTGCTGGAAGCCTCAGGGTGTGTTAGTTCTCAATCACTGTCACAAACACAGTGGTATCTTGGTTCACAAACTTGATGCTACCCATGATTCTGGTCACAAATTGAGTTGGATGAGACCTGAATCAAATTCAGTGGTTAGGTCCACTACTGATCCTATGAGGAAATTTGATTCATTTCTCATCTAGTACAGTTTGCCACCAGAATCATGAGAATTGAGTTCATGAACTGAGTGTATCTGAGATAAACAACTTAAAGGAGAAAATGATTATTTTAACCAGGTTTTCAGAGGTTTCAGTCTATGGTCAGCTGGTTCTATTATTTGTTGGCTTGTGGAAAGGTAGATCACATGGCAGAAGGGGATGGGGACATAAAGGTGCTGGCCTCATAGTAGCCTGGAAGCAAAAAAGGGAAAGAGCCAGAGAAAGGGGGCGAGGGACTAGATACAGTCTCCAAATTCATGCCCACAATCCACTCTCTTAACTACACCCCATTCTGTCACCTCCCAATAATGCCATCAAATTGAGATTGCTTTGGTTAGTACCCTCACCTTCCAAAACCCCTCTTCTGAACATACGAGACACTTTGCAAAGACATTTAGAGTCTAAACCCTAACACAGACTTCCAGTCTTCAGAAACACAAAGAAGTTTCTGTCCTGTAGAAGGCACACTTTCTATGGTACTTTGATATAGCAACCTGAACTAAGACAGCCTTCTATCAAGAGACAACATTGCTCAGTCTCGTGTCTTTGTGTTAACACATTTCCAAATACTCCAAATGAAGTGTGGCTAATGGCACCTCTTGCACACTGTTAGCACAAAATGTGAATCCCTAGTCTCCTATCACTGAAATTCAAAACGCTGACCTTTCTGTCCCTTTAATCCTTTACTAGGCATGGCCCACACTAAATACCTGTCTGTTCCATTACTCTCCCCATGGCTCCTTCCCACGTCTCTACAACTGGTCTTAATATGCTTTCTGCTCTTCTCCCCCTCGCTCCCCTCCCCACCCAGGATGTGCACATCTTCCCAACAATCAACAGCAATTCAAGCATTCCTTCTCCTCAAAGCCTTCCCCAGCAGAAGAAATACTAAGCTCTATCTCTGTTTTGCCTTTACAGCTCTTAGGAGTCAAAGCCGATTTTGCTGTATACTAGTTATTCATTTCACACTTTATATCTTTCCAATTATACTATGAAAAAAGAGGAGACAATGCCTTCTCCACTCATGAGCAATTCATATTATCTAAAATAAAATATATAATAGATGCTTAATAAATGTTCATAAACTGAGTTAAATATTTCTACCTTAATCCATTTGCATGTCATATCATTCTGTCCCACATCACTCTAGCAACTGGCATATGTTGACAAATTCTCTATGCAGGAATCATATGCTGCTTGATGACTCAAACTGAACTGTTTATAGAAATCAGAGGCCCTGGATGATGGAATCATTAAAACCATCTTTAGTCTGATAATTCCAAATCTAGGCTGATCATTTTAATAACTTGGAGAGTTTTGAAAAATGCCAATACTCAGAGTCCTGCCCTGATGCAGTCAATCTGGGACAAAGCCTGGGAATCTGGAATCCTTAAAGTTTCCCAGGGAATTCTAAAGTGCAGCCAGGGCTGGAGACCAGTGCCTTTATGCCAGCACTCTGCATTGTCATTTGAACATGCTAAGCAGAAGTCTGGGAACATCAGCTTTGAAAAGAAACATGCACAATGTAGTAAGCAAAGGGAATGCCAACCCTATTTGCATCAAAGACCACAAACTGCTTAAGCACCACCTTCCCAGCAGTTTTTATTCAGACGATGGATGGACTCGTTTGAAGTACATCTTATCTATTTGTGAAAGCCCTTACAGGATTCTCTCTAATGCATAGACAACTTGCATTTGCCACTTCCCCTCGTCCTGTCAGCAGTTACTGCATGAATTTGAAAGTCATTAAATTCCTTTACTTAATTTTTTTAAAAGTTCTATAAACTATGCATCTACTAAAAGAATATGAGTACTGGAGCATGCAGCAATAAGCAAATATGGACACAAAATCAGGTCCACTGAAAAGAGCAGAATATAAAATAGTGCCAAATACAACTGTATACAAATGATGCAAATATGAGGATTTTAATGAAATTTTTTCTAGCAATAAGGTGCAACATACAATGAAGATTCAAAATTATTTTTAAAGTGCCATATAACTCAGATGTGTTCTTTGAGGGCAACTTGCCACCTAACTAGAATGTGCTACCATCAGCGTTTTTATAACATTCCTCCAAGCAAAAGTTACCATGTGTTTTGTCTCAGACAAGTTTCTTCCTTAATTGCTCTGTGTAGGTGGGCTCTTTACTGTGTGTTCTTTAGGAGGGTTTCATTCTGTGACTGTCTTTTATCTCTCTCTTGAAAGTCCCTCTTTAAACAAGTATGGTGGTGTATGGTTGTAATTCCAGCACTTGGGAGGTTGAGGCAGGAGGATCACTGCAAGTTCAAGACCAGTCTGGGCTGCGAAGTGAGCTCAAGGCCAGCCTGAACTGCATATGGAGACCCTGTCTCAAAAAAACAATAAATAATAAAGTCCCTCTAATGACATGACATAATTGAACAACTCTGACACTACGTTCTTGCTGACCTATCAGTTGTGGGACTTAACTCTTGCAAACTGAGCATTTTTGTTAACTCACTATAGTGAGATGATACTTGCCGTTCCTTAAGAACTGGGTTATTCCAGTTCCAATACCTTGTTAAAAACAAAGAAAAAATTTAAAAAATAATAAATTCATTTTTAAAAAAAGAACTGGGTTATTTAGGCTTGAAAACAATTTAGTTTCCCTTTTGTCTTTGAAAGAAACAATGGTAATCTGCATTCTTCACATAATGAAATGTATATTCTTAGGAAAGCAAGCATCAATCTATTCCATTTTTAAAATCTTTAAGCAACCCAGTTAGGAACTCTCAGTTTATTTCATTAGTAAGGGAATATTTTCCTAAATAAAATCAAACGGCCTTGATTAATATCTAATAAATATTTTATTTGTCTTATCTCTAAACTGAGGTATACTTCATTTTAAGAATAACATCCTGCTAGAGACCAAGATAGCGGAGTAGTATGCAGCAGAGAAAAGTCTCTCAGAGAGCCATTGCCCAGATACTGGAATATAGCATCATGAGGAAGACAAGAAGGAGGGAAGTAAGTCCACTGGACCCAGGGGGAATCTGCAGTGCAAATTGAAGCCCACAGAGAGTGAAGAGAAAAACTTCAACAAAGATGAAGGTAGTCAACAGCACCTTCTCCCTGAGACAGGACTCACTGTGTAAGAGAAGTGGCTTGAGCCTGCAGATACACAGTTACAGTGACAGTGATAGCTGGGGACCCCAGAAGCCTCTGCAGACACACGTGGCAGTGGAGAGTAACAGCAGAGATGGAAGGCTGTGCTGGCTGGCAGTGAGTGCAGAGGACTTAGTCCTCCCTCGGGAGAAAGCACTTGGCCTGGAGCCATCTTAGAGACAGGGCCAACTGAGGTCAGAACCCAGAACTGCTGCCAGCTCCATCCAGCAGCTCTCAGCTAGGCTTGGGCGGTGGCAACCTCAATGTGTCTGGTCTCGGGGCAGATCTGCTGAGATTATCCATTACCCTGTCAAAAGCTACTGTTGTCTTGCTGGGATAAATCAGTGTGATTTGGGATGCTGTCTTCCCTGGTGTTGTAATTAGGGGTTGTGCAGAGAACAATTAGAATCAGGACATGGAGTTTATAATTCTGTTTTATGATGGTCACCCAGAGTTAGCACAAGAAACTGCAGGAAATCTATCCACAACACCAAAGACATAGAATATGGCCTAAATCCCACATGAGTCCAGATGAAAACCCAGAGCTCATAACAATGCCCCCCATGAGTCCAACTGAAGGTCCAGAGCCCACAAGAAGGACTCACACCAGTCTCTTTTACAGATCCATGCCGGGAAGGCCCAAACGTCAGCGGTGGAAGCCAGAAAGTCCATGCCAGTGGGTGAAGAAGCTTTGCTGGTGGAATGAGGGTTCTAAGCTGGAGTCAAAAAGCCACACTCATAACAAAGACCAGGGCTGTCCTGAAAAGCACCACAGCCATCCTCAGCGACACAGAGGCCCCGAGCTCTTCTGACGACAAGCACAGTTAAGTACATGCCAGAAAGCCAGCATGATGAGTTCATCCTGGAGATCAAGTGGCACACGTCTTCCTCTCCAGAGCCAGGAAGCAATGCCGATGTGAGGACCAGAGCTCCTCCAGGAGAACCAACAGCTCAGACAGCAACTCGTAGGAGAACCGACAGTGCCTCAATGCAACAGCTTCTCCTTCTCCATGTCTCTATGCTGGCAACTTTCCTCAGGTGAACATCTAGGCTCAGCACCATGCTGATGTAATCCAGCCAGCGTTAAATTGACCACCAGTTCTCAATCCATAACACCAGGTTTTCTACTAGTAAAACCAGAGCGAACCCTGGAAGTAAACTGTTTTACTTTTTCTTTTTTTTTCTCTTTCTCTTTGATGGTTTTTGTATGAATGTGAAAGTGATTCCTAACCTCTTGGTGAGTGTGGTTCTTTTCTGTTCTTCCTTTTATCTCTTCCATCTCTCTTTTCCTTCAGTCTTCTGCACCAGTTTCCCAAAGTTGGCATGATCTCCCTTTGTCCTCCAACCTTGCTTCTAATCTCTTCTTCTTCTTCTTCTTCTTCTTCTTCTTCTTCTTCTTCTTCTTCTTCTTCTTCTTCTCTTTTCTTCTTCTTCTTTTTCTTCTTTTTCTTCTTTTTCTTCTTTTTCTTCTTTTTCTTCTTCTTCTTTTTCTTCTTCTTTTTCTTCTTTTTCTTCTTTTTCTTCTTCTTCTTCTTCTTCTTCTTCTTCTTCTTCTTCCTCTTCCTCTTCCTCTTCCTCTTCTTTTACTTCTCTATTTTCTCCTTAATCCATTTTAAATGTTAACTCCATAGGGCAAAATTGACACATTAAGGACTTATACATTGCATATAATTTTGTGATTTGTTTTACATTTTGTTATATAATCACAAATCTAGTTTATATAGTTAAAAGTGGCAAATTAAGGTTTAGGTCACTTTCTCATTTTCTAGGTACCACTAGGTGCTATTGGTACCACTATAGCCAAAATTGACATAATTCTTCTAACAATGACTGCTCCTGGTATTCCATGACTGAGACTGACTAAGGGTCATAGAAAATACTGTGGTACAGTGCCAAAAAAAAAAACCAGTGACTAGGCCAAGCAAGCTACAACTTCTCATCTCCAACAAACTGAGAAGCTAAAACATTCCAGTAGACTCAAAACCCAAAACCAGCTATACCTCGAATATATCTCAAAGAAGTAGTGATCAGACAACAGTCCTAAACACTAGCAATAAAGCAACCTATCATAGCAACATACTAACATCACCCCAGGAATTAAACTGAAAGAAGAAAAGAAAATGAGAAGACACTTAAGCAAAATGCAGCCCAACATCCAGTTCACCAAAGGCAAATCTAGGGGGCAATGAGGTGGGACAATCTGAAAGCCGCCAACAGGCAGTTGGAGTGGTAAACACAAAGCAATTGAATGAGGCTCTGGAAAAAAATAAATCAGAAATAATCTCTCAGATAATTATAGAGATTGCCAAACTACACACCATGCTTAGTGACGTTAGAGCAAACAGACAAAAACAATAAATGAGCTTAAGAAAATTATCAACATAGGAAAGAAATGGAATCCACAAAGCAGATACCCAAGAGAATAAAATCTCCACTGTAAGTATTTGAAGCAAATTAGGCCACTGTGAGGACAGGATCTCAGGTAGGGAAGACAGGCTTGTAGTTAGCAACCAGGAAAAGAAAGGTGTGTGTGTGTGTGTGTGTGTGTGTGTGTGTGTGTGTCTTTTTGATACAGGGTCTCATTATGCAGTTAGGTTGGGCTTGGGCTCACTTTATAGCCCAGGCTGGTCTTAAACTTGCAACAGTCTTCCTGACTCAGCCTTCCAAGTTCTGGGAATACAGGAGTGTGCCACTATGCCCGGATTAAGAAAGATTTCTCAAAAATAGAAAGGGACTATGAGAAATCGATCCAGCAGCTGCTAGACAAGACAAGAATAATTTAAGATTGATTGGAGTCAATGAAAAAGCAGGAGATACAATAAATGACATTAAAAAGTTTTCACAGACATCATGGCAGAAAACTTTCTTGGTAGAGAAGAATTTGAAATACAGATAAATGAGGCATATAGAACTCGAATTGGCCAAGATCAAAAAAAAAAATCTGCATCTAGGCATATCATAGTCAAGATTCCAGAAATTCAACACAAGAATAGAATCTTAAAAGCTGCTAGGGAAAAGAAACAGATCGCCTATAAAGGAAAACCCATCAGAATCACAGCTGACTTCTGAACACAAACTCTCAAATCAAGGAGAACTTGGAGTGAAGTACTCCAAGTTCTAAAGGAAAACAGCTTTCAATCCCAAATGATGTATCCTGCAAAATTATCTTTCAAAATTGAGGGAGAAATAAGACACTTCTGTGACAAAGAACATCTGAGGAAATTTATGACCACCAAACCAGAACTTCAAAATGTTCTAAAAGACACTCTAGGAAGAGATAAGGATTTCAGTTCCATGAACCCCAATAGAAGGAATCCACCAGGGAAGGGAAACAATCAGAGGAAGTGAAGAAAAAAAGGGAAAATAAACAATTAGAAAGTAACATGACAAGTATAAGTCAATACATATCAGTTATAAACATCAATGTTAATGGTCTCAATTCACCAATCAAAAGCAACAGAGTGTCAGATTGAAACAAGAAACAAGATCCAACAACACACTGCCTACAAGAAATACATTTAATTCAAAAACAAATTCATAGACTGAAAGTCAAAGGATGACAAACAATACTCCATGTGACAGGAATTCAGAAAAAAGTAGGGATAGCTGTTCTATTTGCAGACAAAGTAAATTTCAGATCAAGTCTGATTAAGAGATAAAGAAGGTCACTACATCCTCATAAAGGGAACAATCCAAGAGGCAGACATAACAATACCAGTGTAAAACAAAACCAGTGTACCCAACTATATAAAACAATTAATGACAGACATGGAAAATCAAATAAGCCCTACTACAATTGTATTGAGAGACCTCAATACCCCACTGGCACAAAAAGACATTATAGACAAAAAATCAATAATGAAATATTAGAACTAAATCAAAGTTTTGAACAAATGAACTTAATAGATGTCTGTAGAGTGTTCTACCCCACAACATCAGAATACACATTCTTGTCAGCTGCACATAAGATGTTCTCCAAAATAGACCATAACTGGCTCGTAGAATATGCTTAAATAAATGTAAAGGAATTGGAATTATCCCATGCATGCTATCAGACCACAGTGCAACGAAATTGGAAATCCATGCCAAAGGAAACCACAAGAGCTTCATAAACACATGGAAATTAAATAACACTCTGATGAACAACCAATGGGTCACAGATGAAGTTAAAGAAAAGATTAAACAGTTTTTACAGTTGAATGATAACAACAGTACACATCCTGGAACTTATAGGTCACCATGAAAGCAGTCTTAAGAGGGAAATTTATAGCAGTAAATACCCATATCAGGAAAACAGAGCAAGTGCATATAAGCAACTTAATGGTGAGCCTCAGACTTCTAGAAAAAGAAGAGCAGGCTAAGCCATCAGCTCATAGAGGGAAGAAATTATAAAAATCAGAGCAAAAATTAATGCACTTGAGACTAAAAAAATCACAAAGAATCAATGAGTTAAAGAGTTGGTTCTTTGAAAGATTATATAAAGTTAGCAAACCCTTAGCCAACCTTATCAAAAAAAGGAAAGACAAGATTCAAATCCATACAGTTAGGAACAAAAAGGGTGAAATCACAATAGTCCTTGCAGAAATCTAGAAGAGCATCTATACCCACTTTGAAAATTTGTATTATAATGAGATGGAGAATACAGAGAAACAGATTCCTAGATACATATGAATTGCCAAAGCTGAATCAAGAAGATATAAAAACCCTAAATAACCCAATGTCAATAAATGAAATTGAAGATGTAACTAAAACCTATCAACAAAGAAAAATCCAGGCCCTGAAGGATTCATTGCTGAATTCTATACAAGAAATTTAGAGACGAGCTAACACCACTATTTCTCAAACTCTTTAATGAAAACAAAAGAGAAGCAATATTCCCAAATTCATTCCTGGAAGCAAGCATTACACTGATACCAAAACTAGAGAAGGACCCAACTACGAAAGAGAATTACAGGCTAATTTCCTTAATAAAGATACAAAAATTCTTAGTAAGATATGACAAACAGAATGCTGCAAATCTACAAAAAGAGTATACACCATGATCAAGTGGGATTCTTCTCAGGGGTGTAGGGATGGTTCAACATACATAAATCCATAAATTTAATATACCATATTAACAGAACCAAGGGACAAAAATCATATGATCATTTCATTTAATAGATGCAGAGACAAAGTTCACAACCCATTCATGACCAAAAAAAAAAAACCCTATAGGAAATTGGAATAGATGGCCTTTGCCTCAATCTGATAAAAGTCATCTATAACAAAACATCCAACATCATACTAAATTAACAAAAACTGAAAACTTTCTCTCAAAATCAGGAACAAGACAAGGGTGTCCACATCTACACTCTTATTCAACATAGGCCTAGGAACTTTCGCTGTGACAATTAGACAAGAAAAAGGAATAAAGTAAGATCTTTAAGTGGATTCATAAACTTAACTCAAGTGGAAAATTTCAGTGTTTCCTAATTTAGCTTCTCAGCACGAGAGTTCTTCAAAGAGATCAGAGAGTTATAGGAATGTCAATTTTTCCTCATTCTTTCCTTAGACAATGAAAAATATGGCCAACATTGTGATGTCCACACACAGTTAATGAATGAATGTACAACTGCTCACATTTGAACTCATGACATTTTTTCTTAGCTTCTTACATTGCCTTCATAACCTTCGATGAATTATTTACTTCGCAAGTCTGAGAACTAGACCCATTGCTACTGGTATCCTGTCATCAGTGTTGACAATGTGAATTTATTCATTTAAAGACTATAGAATGAACATTTTTTAACTTGCACAAAGTTCAGAAAAATGGTTAACAGTATCTTCTCTCTCTAAAAAGTGAACAAAATGGTGGGGTTAAAGAGAAGAATGATTTGGAGATTTCAGAAATTTAGTCCTTCACTCTGTTTTCTAAGGCAAATGCTTTGATGTTTGCTAAAGACAAATTAACAACTTAGACTTGCTCCCAGTTCTTCTGGAATCTGAAATCTATCAGAAGAAAAAAGCATTAAAGTATTAATTGCATTATTAACAAAATAATTATAATGATCAATATGAGGAAGAAAACTTGGATACTGTAAGAGCTGGGAGTGAGAACAGGCCCAACAAACCAGCCCAACAATTCTTTTCCAAAACTATCATTATTACTTGTGGATTTTCACCCTTTAATTCTTGCCCTTACTATAATTTTCGTATGTAGATATCTTTCCTTTAAAAATCATTATACAAGCATAAATACAATCCCATTTTTTCCGTATTATCAGAGCAGATTATATTCAGAAGCTTATTATAAACTAAAATGAGTGAAAGGGAAAAACATTACTAAAACACATTTGCAAATGATATTTTTAAAAAGCCAAGTTTCCAAAGTACAGATTTTTAATCCTAAAATGTCTTACGTATCAGTGAAAAAGCTAGAATGTTGTTGAGACAATGAATGGAATCTGAAAGAAAATAAAGTTTGATCCTTATCTCATACCTCAGAATAAAATTAATTGCATGTATATCCAAGATTCTAGTACCAAAAACAGAAAATATTTAAAGCCAGTTGCAGAGACACATGCCTGTAATCGCAATGCTTGGAAGGCTGAGGCAGAAGGATTACCACAAATTTAAGGCCAGCATGAACAATATAGTGAATTCAAGGTCAGCCTGAGCTACAAACCAAGATGCTGTCTCAAAAAAATAAATAAATAAGAAAACATGGGCTACTTAACTACAACCTTGAGGCAAGAAAAGTCCTTTCTGAAGAAAATATGAAACAACACCAGAAATCTAAAACAGTAGGCTGATAAATTTGATTGTAACATATTGGAACCTTGTGTAAAAGAAACAAAATCACCGTAAGTAAAAGCAATGTAATATAATATAATATTGTGTTACATCCTACATAAAACAGGCTTATCTATTTATATACAGAGACTCTACAAATAAAAAAAGCTAACAACCCAATAAAATAATGAAGAAAGTATAGCATCACAGGTCACAGTACAGGAACAGCACAAGGTATGTCAACAGATGAAAAGGCATTCTGTGGGGCTGGGGATTTAGCTCAGCGGCATAAGTGCCTACCTTGCAAGCAGGTAATCGTGAGTTCAATCCCTGGTACCAGTAAAAAAAAAAAAAAAGAAAAGAAAAGGCATTCTGCGCTTAGTGGAATAAGCCAGTTACCAAGGGAAAATGCCATCTGGTTCCACTTAGGTGAGATATGTCAAATGATCAAGTTCATACACACACAAAACATGGTAGTTTCCAGGGCAGGAACAGGGAGAACAGGGAACTGTTATTTGACAAGTACAGATTTTTCATTTTTCAAGATTAAAAAGTTCTGAAGGTTGTATAACAATGTGAGTATACTGCATGTGTAGCACTTTGAAATGGTTAAGACGTTAAATTTATGTTGTGCCTTTTTTAAACAGTAAAAAAATTGTATTAAGGACATTTTTAAAAGTGAGAATTTAAATTGACACATCCATAAAAAATAACTTAGTAAGTATGGATTTATAAATATATATGTCTAGCATCTTCAGAAATGTAAGTTCACTGAGTTGATAATTCCACTTAATAATTCCACAGAAATTTAAACTACAAATATACTCACATGTGCACAAAATTGGGTACAATGTTTGCAACATTAGTTAAAGCAATGAAAAACTAGAAATCACTTAAACAGATAAAGAATTTAAGTAACGTCTTTGAGATCATTCCAAAAATATTTATTTAAACTGTGGTACATCCATAGATTGATAAAAAGGAAAAGGGACAGCTGTATATGAACTGTATTTAAAATTCCAATTACATTGTTAGGAGAAAAAACAATGTACAGCTATGTACACAGA